CAAGGGTTGATTTTCCAAGAGGATGGTAATGCGGAACATCAGATACTCCGTTGGAAGATCACAGTTATTGGAACTGAAGCAGTAGCGGCCGTTTGCTTCAGAAATAGTGAGGGAGCAGCTTCAATTGTGAGCTGAAGCTGATCATTCAGTTTACCAATTACTTCACGAATAGATTCAATGCTAGTATTCACATTCTGAATGAGTTGCTTAGTCCTAAATAATATAAACCCTAGTGGTGACATCCGAGCGACGGTCAGTCGGAAAAATCTGACAATTTCGGTCGAAATACCAACTGCCGGAAATTCAAAACGTCAGGTCGGTCGGATTTCAACCAATCCGTTCCGACAATCGGCCGGAATTCCGACTGTTGGAATGTTGAAAAGTCATTTCAGTCGGATTCCAACCGATACAAAATTTCGCTCAGATGCCATCACTAATAAGCACCTACGAATCTCTCTGAAATTGCTTTCTTAATCACTGAAATTGTAGTTTCTTCAGTTTGAACACTCTTATTTTGTTATGTTTGATATGATTAATCGACTCTCTGTTTGATTTTGCCTTAATTTGCCTTAAATAATGTAATAAATTTTGAACTGATGCACATTACATTTGCTGTTGATTATTAATTAACATTTTAAGGAGACAATATCGTCATTATTTTGTTTTCTTTATACATTCGTCTCAATTTGTTTGAATGTTTGGATGCTAACTCGCTAATTGTTCCAAATTGAAAAAAAAAACGATGAAAGTATTAATGATTATTATTATTCATTATTTCATGAATATTGCACTTTTATAATGAACAATTTCAAAGAAATCTCATCTCAGCGTGCGCACGATTATTTTACAAATAGAGAAACTGGAATATAAATTAGATACATTGAGATGCTTGCTGAGTTCATATAATGAGCTGAGCATAAAGAAGTAATTTTTGAATGGTTGTGAAGGCACACAAACAAACAGTTGATCTCATTTCAGACAGAGTCATAAGAAAAGATCCTGAATAATCTCGGTGCGAGTCATCCGTACGGCAATAATCGAGTAATATCACGGGTTTAAATGGTTTTGGTTAGACGACGCTTCAGTTATCGTTGATTAGAACTAGTATTATTTGGTGTCATTGGTGCTGGCGGCGTTAATATCGCTCTCTTCTTGAGGTTTCGGTGAGTCGGGTTGTATCACTTCGCTCTTGATCGCTTGAACTGCACTCACCGCGGCTGCAGTTTCCTCTTCTTCGGTCTGGCGAACAACCGGCACCTGAAAGGGAAACACTTAAGCTTATAAACTTACTTCGGCTGAACTGAAATATAACTATAATCGTAGGCAAACTAAGCATCAGTTTAGACTCAAATAAATTCCGCTGATACGTTCAGAGTGTTGTGCCTTCATGAGTTGTTCATAGCTTATCGAATCTATTTATTCATAGAGTTCATAGATTCATTCATACAAGTCACAGCTCAATTCANAGTAGAAACATAATTCATAGAATATACATAAATATTCATTCAATTGTATGGACAGAATTGTGTCGGGAAAAGGAAAATTTGACAGTCATTTTGATAACAGAGAGAGGCATAAACTCGTGATGAGTTGCGATTGGTGATTAAATGAACGAGTAATTTTTGAAATCGTTGTTGTGTGGATTGTTATTTTTTGAGTAAGCACGACAACATTCATATTGTTTGATAAAGCATTCATACTGTTCTGCTTTAGGCGTGTTTCGTGAACACGATAGGTGAGTGAGTACATTCATGTTATTGTATCATGCGAGAAGCAAAATTCACTAGGTTAGCACCTCGATGGCTGCAATCGGAAGGGTTGTGTTGCTTAGTGGTGGTGCCGAAATGACTTGTCGATAGACAGCCAAATCGGGTGTGCTTGCGGGCTGAAGTGACGATAGCGCTGCTGCACTGCTCACATTCATACTGCACGCTTGATCTGCAAATACTCTCGAGTTATTTGATATTTATTTATATCCATGTGAAACACCCGTGAGCAATGCACCAATTGATATCTAATTACTGGCCAAAGCTCTGCTCCTTTTTCAAATGCTTTCTTCTCGTGTACGCTTTTGGAGTGTATTCCATCGGAAATCTTATAAGTCAAACGATAAATATTACGAGTCAAACGATAAAAAATATTCTGCGCGCGCTTAATGAATTTATCGATCTGCTTGAAAAGATCACGATAGTTAATTGGCAGTTCATCTAGAACCTTCATTCAACGATCTTGTGATCATCATGAATGTTGCGAGGATACTTTTTGTCCGTGCGGTCGACCTATCATCGACTGTTGCAATCCCGGGCTTTACAAGATCAAGCAAATTTCGAAGTTCCTCGAGTCAAATTTCACATTTCAGTATTTGCAGACGCAAGAATGAAGAAGCCTGTTCAATGAAGAACAATGCATAGACAGACCAGTTATAAGGAACGGTGTATCGCTAATTGTAGCAGTAGTAGTCCACGGTGTACTACTCGAAATGGCTGTGTAATTAGTGGCGAGGTCGAGAGCTGAAGGTTGTTGTGGTTGTGCTGGTGCTTGTGGCTGTTGAACTAACTGTTGATTGCCCGGGTCAACACCATCTCGTTGTTCGAGCAATTCGAGTGGATTTGCGATGAATTCTGAAACATGCTTGATCCTCATAAAACAGCTAGTGAAATGAAGTGATAAATGTTCGCTTCTCGGACAATGCCCCTCCCTGACTTCAG